GCCCCAGCAGACGGAGGAGCCAGCGCAAAGCACGGGTCTTTTCGAGGCAGCTAATCGCGAGTTTGAAAGCACGGAGGTAAGCGTCCAGGGCCAGCACGGGGGGTAGCGTTGGTGCTGCGCTGCTTCTGCACACCGCGGTGCCACTGGGAGTGAGCTGCTCAGAGTAGTGCTTCCTGGCTGTTACGGAACGGCACAACGGTAACTTGGCATTCACTTCTTAAATGACTTCGCACCATGACATCCCCCCGCCGTGGCTAAGGGGGAGCTTCATGTGAGTCATGAACTACATGGCTTACGACGAATGGTGCCTCACTGCGGTGTATTTTCTTCATTTGATTCCCTGCCCAAGTTTACTTGAGGAAATTAACGTGACAGTGTTATCACGTTAAAAGCTGCATTGGCAAATGGAAGTCATCCTTTCACGTCAGGCATAAAACATTCCTGTAGTTGCATTAACATTTACTCCTGCCTTTTATACTTAGTTTGTTCAAATTCTCCCTTATATTTCATGCTTTTCTATGGTCTTGTATATCCTCATTAAGACATACAGCTTCACTTCAGTCACTGAATTTTACTATGCCTAGTAATTTCTGAGTCTTTTTATATACTGTAGAGTCACAGTGGAAGATGGTTGAGTAGCAATGATAAAAGAAGCTTGCCAGAAAATACCATGTCTAATTCATGGCTCCGCTTCTGTTACTTTTAGTCAGGAAGTGACACTTCGGACATTTCAGAAGAACTTCCTACACAAAATGCAGGGGGAAAGTCCCCAGGAGAACCAGCATCTGGTTTGAAAACTGGACCGAAGGACTCTGCTCTCCCTGACACTCAATTACAAAGGGAAGAAAGACCAACAAGCACTTGCTCTTCTTCCAGTGCGGTGGGAGAAGTAGTAAAAACTATGCAGCACTTCATGGAGAAGTTTGACATGGACCTGTTCACTGTTACACAGGCCTTTCTGAAGAACACTGGTGAAGTGGAGACTACTTTATACTTTCTGCAAACAGGGCAGCGCTTGGATGGGTACCCTGTATGGACCAGAGAGGATGATTTGGCATTGCAAAAAGATGATGAACATGTCAGAAATAAATTGATAGCGAAATTTGGAGCTGAAAATGTAGCAAAGCGGGTAGCATTTAGGAAAAGTTAGATAGCAAAGCAGAGGGGAATGACTGATGTAGGACTGGCAGGAGCTTAAAAAGACAAAGTCATTTCAGAAATGCAAATGTGATAGAAAATTTTATGCAACATTCTGAAGCTTAAGAAATGCTTTAAAATAATTTTTTATAAAAGGCCTATTTTATATTTGATTTTTATTTGTAATACTGACAACACTAAACATTTAAAAGTAGAAAATGGTGAAGAGAAAGGTTCTATACAGTGTGAAGTTTTCACTGAAAATTTGTCTTAAAGTGTATCTACTGTATAAACCAGCTGACAGTCCTACCTGTACATTGCTGCATGCAAAAGATTTTGACTAGGATTGGCACCAAAATCTGACAGAATCACAGTAAGTGCTCTAACCTGTAATGCATTATTAGTGGACAAGAGCAGCCTGCTCTCTGTCCTGTGTCTTACTTCAAACTGTTGTGGATGATAATTCTCTGCCAGTTGTCGTTACCTACCTTTGTTTGTTTGTTAAGGAGATGGTAACAATGCAAATGTAACTGTTCAAAAAAGAGGGATCAAGAATCTTCATGCCAGAAGACGAGGCACTTGGTCTCGTACATGAATGCTGAGATGCCTGAGAGTGGCCATGTGTACTGGGAATGGCCAAAAAAAGTCACTGTGACATTACAGTATTCAATCTCACATTACAGAGATCTGTGCATTAAAACCTCAGGCCGGTAGAGAGTCATCCTAATTTTTACTCCAGCACATGTTCTCTAGTGCTAATACTGCAGGGTTTGTTTAACAATATTAACTTTACCATCTTGCTTCATGATTTCAAAAGCAATGAATAGCTCTGTCCCAGCTTGTTCCTCTATAGACTGAAGAGTCACAGCTTTAATCCAAGCAAAGTAACACTTGCACCAGACCGTATAGTCTAGTTGGAAAAAGTAGACCAGCTTTCAGGGCCACGTGCAATAGTTCAAGTAGGAGATACAAGTTAAGAAAGAGTCCCAAGAGTCTATTTAGGTATCTATAACCTAAGTCATGTTTGAGAGAGAGAGAACACCATTATGGCTAGTATACAATCACAATCTGAAAAACTCAGTACTATCAGCCTGAAATTGTGCTCTGGTCACTATTTTAATATTATTTGAAGTGAGTCCTGTAAATCTGGAATTCATTCTTTTGGTGTAATAAAATGGGCTGAGAAAAGCAAAGGTTGATTTTTTTTTTTTTTTTTTCCCCCTTAGAATTATGCACTGTGGCACTCAAAAAAGTTAAAGTGAATTAGGAAATTGCTGATTTTAAGCCCAATTCAAATTATATTGAAAGTCAATGATAATTTGATATAATGAGACTGCTACTTCAGAAAACTGCTGTCCTGAAACACCAACTGATTATTTGGGGAGTTAACCAATGTAACCAAATAAATGCCAAAACTCTGGTTTAGGCTATCTGGTGTTTCACTGGACAAGTCATTCCTGC